ATTTTTTTCATTGCGTGGATTCTCAAGTATATGAGGTTATTAACTACCCTTTCATTCGTGATAGAGACGAATTCAACATGTAATATATGGTATATGTCTTTCTTAATCTGAAATATCTAGCGAGAGGTTTATTTATTTTAACATACTTTTAAAAATAGATCCAGTAGAAAAGGGAAGGGATATATAGGTTAGAGGATTAGAGAACATTGCTATGAACCACAATATTGCGGGGATTTGGATCCAGTCTCGCCCACAACTGGTTCAAAAAGGAAGTATCATTCTATTTGGAGGTAGGAAAATCATGATTGAGATAGCGAATTAGAAGTTATGAAATTTGGGTATGAGTCTTTTGTCGAAATGTTAATATATATTAATATATTCATTAATATTTGTAAATAAATAAATATATATATATATATATATATATATATATTTATCCATTAATATTTATAAATATGTATTTGTAATCAATTCAGTTACTATTATATATTAATTAGCTTGTAATCGTTATAAGAAATTATAAATTTCAAATTATGAATTAACACCCTCTTTACAATTGTTTGGAATTGGATTTAAAACGGAATATTCATAAGAGAGTTAATTACTCTCATATGTTGAGCTTTTGGGAATTAATGCTTATTCGATCGATTCTATCCTAGTTTATTAAGGCATGACTTATATTCTCCAACACACATTTATATATGGGTCTGTTTTTTCAATCAATCTTACCCCGATTTAATAGGACGTGACTTATATATGCAAGTCAAAAAGAATTTATAACCAACCACATGGAAAACTTCTTTGATAATCGGTGACAGTTGAGGTATAATTTCAGAATATCTATCTGCTCTAGTATAAGCTTGAAGTTCAAAATCATCAAAATAAAAATTGAATGACTATCTATGAAACCAGATGTATATCGAATAGACAAATCTGTTTTATAGCTTCTTAGCTCATTATAATATAAATACGTGACCAATTATTATGAAATATGAATACTATTATTACAATATCATTAGTACTTGAATTTTTTATATATAAATTCATTTTTTTACTACAATCACATCATTGGTGATCTGCCAATTGCCATAGGTTGTTCAAATTATATTCCTAAAAAAGAAAGATGCATCTAATGAAAATTGGTACATAGTACTAAGTAAAAAACCCCAAGCTAATTAAGGTTCTTATACATAGCTAAAATTTGTGTTCCTTTTGTAACTGTTTGGACCAAGAACAACTAAAAGAATTATAAATTCATGCTGCAGGAGCATAATCATAGTCTCCATCATCGTCATCGCCTTCCAAAGATGCAGCAGGAGCAAAATCGTAATCTCCATCATCGTCATCGCCTTCCAAGGATGCTGCAGGAGCATAGTCATAATCTCCATCATTATCATCTCCGTCTCCTTCTAAGCATGCTGCTGGAGCATAATCATACCCATCGTCACCATCATCATCTCCATCTGAACATGACCTTCTTTTTTGAAATCCGATAATCTTGAAAATGCTAGACATTGTATATTGTATGATCTATTAGACATCATCTCTTTCTTCTTGGACTATAGAAATATGATTTAGATAATTGTTGGCTATTGTATGATCTATTAGACAATATGTGAGTTTTTGTAGTGTGTATTATTGGTGAAGAAACCACTTGCTTATATAATGGAAAGAACCAAAGGTTAGACTTATTTGGACACATTAGGAAGTGTGTTATGTGACATGAAGAATGTGTACATCCATATGCTTGGGTGCATTAAGCTATACTTTTGGTGTTGCCACTTCCAAAATTCACTTTACATCTCATCCATCATAGTCCCTTAGTTAGATATTTTATAATTATATAAATGAGTGGCATATTTAAAATCACTATTTCAACTCTCAAAGTCTGTTTCTTAATTTTTTTTGACGATTTAGACGACATCACATAAATTGAAATTAAAGAGTATAAAACAAAAGGCCGGGATTAGAGCAGAAGAGTTGCAATACAACTAAACAAACGTGTGATAGCTATCTAGGAGAGTTTGAGTTGTTGCTAATAAACTCTACAAAATTAGAAACAGATTTAACATTTTAATTTGATGGATTTGTTTTTAAGGAAAAATTACCGTCAAATATCATTCGGTCATCTAGTTTACAAAATATATACACAATTACAATGTATATGTAATAGGGAAATTTGTGCAAAATAGTTAACACTTAAACCATAGTAAATCTTATAGCTACTGTTTAGGAAAATTCTAATTCGCAGTTGTAGTTTCACCCAATCTTGCTATTCGCCTGATTTGTATAAATCCAGAATGTATAATTCGAAAAGTTTGTATATGCTTACCCTATCTATTTGTATACGGTTTATGAAAAATTCATAATAAATTATCCTCTTTGTATATTGGCAATTCAAAATATACAAACGGAGTTCTGAAAAATTCCTAAATGTATAAATATAAAATGTGTATGTACTTACCCTATTTGTATGTTTGCAAACGAAATATACAAACAGAAAGAAATATACAAACACAGCCTCCATATCAAATGGAACTATAGGTATGGAGCGCAATTATCGATACTATAGCTATAGAGCCTTATTATGTCTATTATGTTTATTATTTCTAGATTTTTCTCTATGTAATATACATCTTATACTAGATATATGTATAATATACATATCTATAGACAATATATACCGTCATAATATATAGTTAATGTACACTTCAACCATGTTGATAATTAAACTAATTGACTAAAGATGGTACATTTACGTAAATTTTTCTATTGTTTTTATTATGATTTTACTACTAAAATTATTAAGTTTAATCGAATCGAAAGCACTCGTTAGCTACATCCATTGGCGGACCTACCTTGTGCATAATGGGTGCTTAAGCACCCACTACCTTTTGTGACAAACTTTACTATTTATGTATAAAATTTAGAATTTCGTTGAAATGTATTAATTAAGCACCCATTCTACGTAGTAATTTTCGAGTTAAAAAAACTTGAGCACCCATAATATAAAATTCCTGAATCCACCACTGACTACATCTTCCACATTTTCAGATATGCCAGTGCCATTATTCTCCCAATTTAAAGTGCAGCTTTATCTTCAGGTAAATTGAAAAGGCAAAACAATTTTTTGCCAGCAAGACGTGTGCATAGCACGTGGAAGTAAGTTTTATCTACGTGGATGCTTTGTTGGCATGCCACATAGACAAGGTATTTGTCAAATTCTCTAATGAAAATATATGGTAGCTAGATAATTATAATTAATTTATAGATAGTGAAAGTGTTATTATTTAAATCAAAATTGGCAAATCGTACATATCTACTATGGTTTTGTATGAAGATTTTTCATTTTATAAAATAGGATACCAATGCTTAACATATATCTTAGGGTTTTCTTAGAAAGAAGAAATATTTCTTTGATCACGCAGCTGGAGCATAGTCATAATCAGCATCATCATCATCGTCATCTCCATCATCCTCGAACCATGTAGCTGAAACATAGATACACCCTATGACATGGCGATCCATCGTCGACGTAGACTCATAAACATGACTACCAATGTCATGGTTGCCCCTTTTAACATGGTAATCAAAGAATGTCAAATTACAAATTGAGTTCATCTATATTGTTGAAATTTGAGACATATTGTTGGGACTTTTTTGTTTCAAGATTGAATCAAAAGAGAAGATAGTTAAGGGAAATTGCAATTGATATATGAGTTGAGAAGAAAAGGGGAATATATAAGGATGCCTAGTGAGTCGTGACATAATTATGTGCTCAAAATGGCTCCACAAATGTACTCTAAATGATAGAGCTAATTAAGTCGTGGCGGATTCAGAATTTTCAAGTAAAATTCAAAAAAAAATGTAGTGTTTGAAATTTGAATTTGGAACGCCAAGGTGGATATTAAACCACCTCAATCATTAAGCCAATGTCTAATGTTATGTTCAGGAGGTTCAAAATCTGTATATATACATAACCTTTATTTAAAATACCTTGTATATACCGTGTAATTTTTTACCAAGGATATTCGAATAACCCCCTCGCTATCCTCTAAATTTCCCCCCGGAGCTAATTCAACCACATTTATATCATGATAGGATACTATTCTGTAATTTCTATTGTCAGATCATTAATTTGAGAAGATAGAGAGGTCATCTTCGATATGGTCAAATATTCACCTATCGATTAAACGATTCAAGTATAGTTCAATATGTCCTTTGACGACAAATGCAAAAACGTCGACATTCTTTTGTGCATGAATTCTCAAGAACCATTCTTGAGAGTTATTCCAGATGCAGAGCTTTAATTTATGGCAAACAAAAAGAAAAAAACAAATTAAACTATTTATTCTTGCAACAATCTTATAAGGTTATAGTAATAATACGAGATGACGACACGCTTCAATATGATAATCGATAAATAAACTAAACATAGGTTGTGATTTTAATTTTACCAGCACACCCTATTATTAAAAAGAATCTTATTTTTGCTCAAATGAAAAAAATAAATCTCTCATGAGTGGACGCGTTGAAATATAAATAAACTACTATGCATGCCATATAAAAGTTCTTCAAATGTAGAAATAATAATGATACATTGCATCTATTAAACTAATGATATTTCAAAGTCAAACTTTTTGTTTTGAAAACGGGTCGGGTAGTTTATTTAAAAGGGATATATCTAAACCTTTTCAAATAGTTTAGGGGTATATTTGACCCTTTTTTCTTTAATATAAATGTCACGTGGTAATGTAAAAATGACGTGGCAATTTCATTTGACATTTAACACCCATAAGAGCATATCTAGACGAAAAGTTGGACGACGAGAGTATAAGTGAGCCAAACTTTAAACGGGTATATTTAGACCTTTTCGAATAGTTTAGGGGCATATTTGACCCTTTTCCCTAAAAAAAAAATTACTATAATTTTCCAAAAGATATATTTATTTATTTATTGGTTAACCCCTCACTCCCTTTAAAAGAGAAATTTCTGTGAGTTGAAACATCAAACACCTCATAGGCGCTAAAATGGAGAACCCATCTTCATTGGAGAATTTGCTTCAAACCCTAAATACCAGAGGATGGTGTTTCCGGGATATCAATCTTGTAAATTCACTCATTGCAGCTCAATTGGCGTCATCATACACCGTTAGTTCAATCGAATCGGAGCTCCTAAACATGGACTTACGATCCGTCGGCGGGAAGTCGTTGCCGGACTTTTCTCTTCTCCGTAAATCGTCTCATATCCAAGGCCCTAAAGTCCTTCAAGTAATTATCTTTTTTAAATTTCTCTTATATGAAGAGACTCTGTATAAATGTGTTATTTTGCATCATTTTGTGTACATAATGGTAGTAGCTAAATGATTATTGTAATGAGTAAGATTCAGTATTTAGAGGAAGTCGTATTGGATTTTGCTGAACTTGTATCTGTGCTTCTAGCTCCACCTCGGGTGAGTTTGGATTTGTACAATTAACAACTGTTTGAGCTGAAAGAAGTGAATTTGATTACACCTGTCTTTACATATTTTTGTTGCATAAGGAATTTGTATGAAGAATTTATGTGTAAAGGATTGCCCGATGCACTAAGTATCTCGCATTTTGATAAAGAAATGAACTTTGGGCTTAACTCAACTTCAAAAGTTAGCTTATGAGGTGAGGATTGCTCAAGACCTTATAAGGAGACCTAGAACCCATCCCACAAACGATGTGTGACTCCAACACATTCACGCAAGGTCTGGGGAAGGGTCGCACCCCTAAGGGGTGTGATGTAGGCAGCCATAATTTTACACTGTGCAAATAGAGTAAAAATGAATCTTTTTTGGTTTTATTTGAGTTGTTGAATCCCCTTGACATGAAAAAAAGAAGCAAAATTCAAGTATAATGGTAAAAGGGGATTCAAAATTGCTTTAGTTCATATGTTCAAATTTCCAGTTCCGCCGCTACATCATGGATGTTAGCGGTAGTAGCCAAATAATTGTTGCTGTGAGGTAGATTCTGTATTTAGAGTGGGTGGGTTTGGATTTAAACGGGTTATTATATATATTTAATTTTTTAAAATCTCTTATATATGTAGAAATGTTCGAGCTGAAAGCAGTGAATTTGATCACACCTGCCTTTACATATTTTTTGTTGCATAAGGAAGTTGTATGAAGAAGTTATATGTAATTGCATCAATTTGTGTACATCGTGGATGTTGGTGGTAGTACCCAAAGTATTATTGCTATGAGGCAGATTCAGTAGTTAGAGTCAGTGGGTTTGGAGTTGGATGGACTATTATAAATACACAGAGTGTTCAATGATGACTAAAATAAAAATAAATAATTAGTGCAAAGCTATTTGTTTATGTAAAAAAAGTCACTTATCTTTTGGCATTTCAATCACAAGATCTTTAATCGATCAATTATCAATATGTACAGTGATAAAAATTATTTGAAACAAATTGGTTATGTGTATATGTAATGTATAGATATGTATATAAATAATATTGATATGTATAAATAATGTATAATCATGTATAAATGATGTATATTAATGTATAAGAGATTTATATACATCCAAATATATTGTATATATAATAAAGTATACATTGCATACTAAATTTTTTTTCAATTCCAACCAACTCAAATCGCCTCTAAACAGTCTCAAAATTCAGATATGAACTCCTCTTAATGTTTCGAGTCTTTTGATAATTAAATTATTCACGCAAAACGATTTACATTATTCAATTCCAAGTTTCCAACCAACTCAAATCTCCTCTAGATTGTCTCAAAATTTCATATATGAGTTCCTCTCAATGTTTCGAGTCTTTTATATATTATTCACTCGATTCACGTTTGCGGCAAATCAAATTTTAAAATTTGAGCTTCAAAGCTCTTCAATGGTTGATTTCAACCGATATATTTTTTTTATATGAGGTTCCATTGTCTAGTTCGATGCGTGCACATTTATGGACCAAAGGTCTTTCCACCAACGGTCCACCGTGTCAACCGTCAGGTTTTCTGAGGCCCACATCGGACCTAGCTTTGATATCATATTAAATTAAGTCTGGATCTAACTCACATTCAAAAGTTAAGATCAAAGTGAAGAGAATTACCTAAATCTTATTTTAAAACCCAAGATTTCATTTATTCATCAATGCGGGACACTCCATTCATCATTACTTCACCCAAAGAAGTTAATAATCAAGCCAGAAAGTGAATTTTAAAAACTAGATATATATTCATTCAAAGTAAAATACTTAAATTAAAACGGAGGGAGTATAATATTTTATCATCAAGTGAGATTATATTTGACTACAATCCATGTCACTGCTTTTCATAACTTAATAATATATTGTATTTAAAAAAAATACATCTAATAAACTATTGATCTTGATCAGAGTCCCTAACAACAGATTAATATATAAACCTACATATGTCCTCTTTTGACCAAGAATATAATAATAAGTGTATATAAATATTCACTTTATTTTAATTTATGTGTATTGCTTTCCTTTTTTTGTTTGTTTAAAAAAATGTCAAACTTTCTATATTAAGTAACTCTTTAATTTAAACATATATCCTTCCTGACATGCTTAAGAATAAGACTAGAAAATTTAAAGACATTTTGATATATGTTATACTGGTCTTTACTTTAAACTTTCACAAAAATTAATATATTTTTTATTTTCTTAATTAAACTTATATCCATTGAAAGTACGACACTTTAAGTAAAAACAGAGAGCATAATCTTATTATAATCAAGTGAGACAATATTTGACTACAATCCATGTCACTGCTTTTCATAAATTGATACTAAGATATTGTATAACTAATAAGCTAATGATCTTGATTAGGGTCCCTAACAACACCAGAGACCTCATCAACTAAGTATTATTAATACTACATATTTCCTCTCTTTTTTTTTAAAGGACTAGTATTATTAAAACCAAGGTTCTTACTTCTTAATTCCTAGTTAATATCTAAAACTTCCTTATATTTGAATTAGACAACAATAAGCTAGTTTGACCAAAAATATTGTGTCTATTCTAAACTTTTCTCTAACAAAAACCTTAAAATGGATTTATTTCATGCAGCCAGACATAATCATAATCTCCATCGTCATCTCCTTCTAACGATGCTGCAGGAACATAGTCATAATCTCGATCATCGTTGTCTCCTTCCAAGGATGCTGCGGAGCATAGTCATAATCTCCATCATCATCACCATCTCTCTCTAAACATGCTGCTGGGCATAATCATAATCACCATCATCATCTCCATCCAAACACGACCTTCTGATCTTCTCAAACCCAATAATCTTGAAAATTCCATACATTCTATAATTACTTAGAGAAATCTTGAATATAAGCTAGATATATATTAGATGTATACTTGTACCTCTTTTGATGATTAATGTTATGATAGGTAAGGTAACAAAATGCTTATATATAGGAAAGAGCCAAGTGGGCACTCATTTAGGCACGTTAGGAAGTGTGGCTTTGACATGAAAAATGTGCAAAGCCATATGCTTGGCTCCAAAATTAACTTTACATGTCATAGTATTTAATTGTTATATATAATAATGAGTGTTAAAAGGTTACATATTCTCAATATATTTTGGTGGGAATAAATTCTCTCTATCTTGAATGAGCCAAAAACAAATTTAGTGTGTACATGATAAGTTGAAGTGTGTTTAATCTACGTGGATGCTTAGTTAGCATGCCACATAGACAAGGTAATTTGACATCAAAAGTATGCCAAGATGTGTACATTTTTTTGTGCATGAGTATTAATGTTTAAGAGATTGACTATATTATATACCCTTTCATGCATGATTATATTTATGTCTATACATTTGTTTGGAATAGGATCCAAATCAGGATATTCATAAGAGTTATTCTTAGCTTTGGGGAAAAAGAAATACTCCAATGCTATTTTTTCAACTATATATTAAAAATAAATTAGTGCAAAGTTGTTTGTTTATATAAAAAAAGTCACTTATCTTTTTGGTATTTAAGTTACAAGGTCTTTAATGGATTAATTATCAGTATGGACAGCAACAAAAAATATTTTAAACAAAATGGCTATATGGATATGTAATGTATCAATATGTATATATAATGTATCAATATGTATAAATAATGTATAAAATAATTATATAAAGTATACATTGCATATCATTTTTTTAATCCCAACCAACTCAAATCATCTTTAAACAGTCTCAAAATTTTAATATGAGTTCCTCTCAATGTTTCAAGTTTTTGATAAATTAAATGATTCACATGAAACTATTTACGTTTTTCAATCCCAACCAACTCAAATTCCTCTAAACATCCCAAAATTATGATATGAGTTCCTCTCAACGTTTTGAGTCTTTTGATATACTATTCACTCGACTCACGTTTGCGGCTGATCGAGTTTCAAAATTTGAGCTTCGAAGCTCTTCAGTGGCTAATTTTAACCAATATATTTTTTATATGAGGTTCCATTGTCTAGTTTGGTGTGTGCACATTTATAGACCGGAGGTCCTTCCACCACCGTGTCAGGTTTTATGAGGTCCACATCGATCCTAGCTTTGAGTCTAACTCACACATCAAAAACTAGATCAAAGTTAAGATAATTGCCTAAATCTTATAAAAGAAACCCAAGATTTCATTTATTTTCCATGTGGGATAGTCCATTCATCACTACTTCACCCAAAGAAATTAATGATCGAGCCAGAAAGTGAATTTTAAAAACTAGATAAATATTCATCCGTAAAATACTTTAAAAAATAAATCCAATAAGCTATTGATCTTGATTAGAGTCCCTAACAACAGAGTAATATATAAACCTACATATGTCCTCGTTTTTCTTTCTAAAATAAGGACTAGGATTATGAAAACCAAGGTTCTTAATTCTTCCAACTAAACTTCCTTAAGTTTGAATTAGACAACAGTAAGTTTGACCAAGAATGTTGTTTCTATTCTAAATTTGTCTCTACAAGAGCCTTCAATGAACTTATTCAGGCAACCGGAGCATAATCATAATCTCCATCGTCATCTCTGTCTAACGATGTTGCAGTAGCATAGTCATAATCTCGATCATCATCGTCTCCTTCCAAGAATGCTGCAGGAGCATAGTCATAATCTCCATCATCATCACCATCTCTCTCTAAACATGCTGCTGGAGCATAATCATAATCACCATCATCATCTCCATCCAAACACGACCTTCTGATCTTCTCGAACCCAATAATCTTGAAAATTCCAGACATTCTATAATTACTTAGAGAAATCTTGAAATATGAGCTAGTATATATTAGATGTTTCTTGTACCTCTTTTGATAAGATGTGATGATTAATGTTATGATAGGTAAGGTAACAAAATGCTTATATAAGGAAAGAGCCAAGTGGCACTCATTTAGGCACGTTAGGAAGTGTGGCTTTGACATGAAGAATGTGCAAAGCCATATGCTTGGCTCCAAAATTAACTTTACATGTCATAGTATATATATTTTTATATATAATGAGTGTTAAAAGGTTACATATTCTCCATATATTTTGGTAAGAATAAGTTCTCTCTATCTTAAATGAGCCAAAAACAAGTTTAGTGTGTGCATGGCACGTGGAAATGTGTTTAATCTACGTGGATGCTTACTTGGCATGCCACATAGATAGGATAATTGACATCAAAAGCATGCAAAGATATCGACATTTTTTTGTGCATGAGTATTCAACTTTAAGAGGTTGACTATATTATATACCCTTTAATTTCATACATTTTTTTGGAAGAAGTTCTAAATCAGGATATTCATAAGAGTTATTCTTAGCTTTTGGGAAAAAAGAAATACTCCACAACTAATTTTCTCACAAGTCATCTTATGGATTTGATTTCTTAAATACTCATTCAACTATATATTAAAAATAAATTTGTGCAAAGTCACTTTTTATATGAGAAAAGTCACTCATCTTTTGATATTTCAGTCACACGGTCTTTAATGGATTAATTATCAATATATACAACAACAAAAATTAATTTAAACAAAATGACTATATGCATATGTAATATATATAATGTATTAATATTGTATAAATAATAAATAATTATGTATAAATAATGTATATTAATGTATAAGAGATTTATATACATCTAAATATATTATTTATTTAATAAAGTATACATGGCATATGATTATTATTTTTAAATCCCAACCAACTCAAATCGTATCTAAACAGTCTAAAAATTTAGATATGAGCTCCTATCAATGTTTCGAGTCTTTTGATAAATTAAATTATTCACGGGAAACGATTTACGTTTTTCAATTTCAACCAACTCAAATCTCCTCTAAACAGTCCCAAAATTTAGATATGAGTTCCTCTCAACGTTTCGAGCCTTTTGATATATTATTCACTCAACTTATGTTTGTGCCAGATCAAATTCTAAAATTTGAGCTTCGAAGCTCTTCAGTGGCTAATTTCAACCGAAATATTTTTTATATGAGGTTCCATTGTCTAGCTAGTTCGGTGCGTTCACGTTTATGGACCGGAGTTCCTTCCACCACCGTGTCAGGGTTTTTGAGGTTCACATCAAGTCTAGCTTTGATACCATATTAAATTAAATTTGAGTCTAACTCACATATCAAAAATTAGATCAAAGATAAGAGAATTATCTAAATTTTATAAAAGAAACCCAAGATTTCATTTATTTTTCAATGTGGGACATTCCATTTATCAATACTTCACTAAAAGAAGTAAATGATCGAGCCAGAAAGTGAATTTTAAAAACTAGATAAATATTCATTCAAAGTAAAATACTTTAAAAAATAAATCTAATAAACTATATATGAACCTACATGTGTCCTCTTTTTTCTTTCTAATAAAGACTAGGATTATTAAAACCAAGGTTCTTAATTCTTCCAACTAAACTTCCTTATGTTTGAATTAGAAAACAGTAAGTTTGACCAATAATGTTGTTTCTATTCTAAATTTGTCTCTACCAAGAACCTTCAATGAACTTATTCATGCGGTCGGAGCATAATCATAATCTCCATCATCATCTCCGTCTAACGATGCTGCAGGAGCATAGGCATAATCTCGATCATCATCGTTGTCTCCTTCCAAGAATGTTGCAGGAGCATAATTATAATCTCCATCATCATCACCGTCTCTCTCTAAGCATGCTGCTGGTGCATAATCATAATCACCATCATGATCTCCATCTGAACACAACCTTCTTTTCTCGAACCCAATAATCTTAAAAATTCCAGACATACTATATTTTACTTAGAGAAAACTTTGAAATATGAGCTAGATGTATATTTGTACATCTTTTGATAAGATGTGAATATTAATGTTATGATAGGTAAGGTAATAAAATGCTTATATATAGAAAAGAGCCAAGTGTGCACTCATTTAGGCACGTTAGGAAGTGTGACTTTGACATGAAGAATGTGCAAAGCCGTATCTTTGGCTCCAAAATTAACTATACATGTCAAAAGTATATATATTTGTATATATACTTTTGGTGGGAATAAATTCACTCTTTCTTGAATAAACAAAATTTAGTGTGTGCATGCCACGTGGAAGTGTGTTTAATCTACGTGTATGCTTAGTTGGCATGCCACATAGACAGGGTTATACTAGCAGAACAAAATATATATGTATAATACATAAAAGTTCTCTTTAACTTGTCCTTAGTTGATATATATATAAGGTTAAATATGTAGACTGACACGTCCTTTAATTTGACCTCAAAAGCATGCAAAGATGTTGACTATATTATATACCCTTTCATGCATGAGAACAGTTACATTCGTTTGGAATAGGATCTAAACCAGGTTATTTTTAGCTTCTAGGAAAAGAAATATTGTCGGCTCCGTTCATTTTTATTTATTCAGTATATTAAAAATAATTGTTTGATTTAATTTGTCAGTTTTGAAAATCAAGAAACAATTTATCATTTTGTATCTATTTTACCTTTGCTATTGAGTATTATTATGATTCATTTTTCAGCATTTAGATGACTTATAATTAATAGAAGTGATGTAAAATTATGTTTCTGTTTATTGTTTCTTAAAAACTACACAAGTAAAGATGGACAGAAAAGGTAAAAAAACAATATATTATTCATAGGTCATCTTATGAAATTGATTTCTTAAATAGTTATTCAACTAGTAAAAATAAATTAGCAAAGTTATTTCTTTATATCACAAAAGTTACTCATCTTTGAGACTTTGACTATTTTAATCACAAGCTAAGGTCTTTTTGTTTTGTGTATAAAACACTTATCTTTGTTGTTAAATTAGATTTGAACCTAACTCACACCTCAAAAGTTAGCTTAAAAGAAAGAGAATTGCTCAAGTATTATAAAAAGCCCAGAATTTCATTAATTATCTCTCCACGCCCAGATCCAGACAATCTTTTATATATCGGTGGTTCCCATTGTTTAGCCTAGTGCGTGCACGTTTATGGACCGGAGCTATTTCCATCTTGTGCCAAGTTTCCAAGGGGGGCACTTCGGTTTGGCTAGTATACTATGTTAAATTAGGTTTGAGCCTAGCTCACCCTTTACCTATCTCAAAAGTTAGCTTAAACTTTATTATAAGGAGCCCATAATTCCGTTCATTTTTCAAAATGGGACACTCAGTACTCGACTCGTAAAATCTCTTTTTGTACTAAATAATTATTAAAAAAAAGTTCCAAACTTACAGAATTGTTACGTGCAATTGTTTTTTGGTTTCTTAAATTCATTTAGCTACAATTCATTTTCGAATTTTACTGCTAACACAAGAAATCCACTAATTGAAGATAAATGACCCAATTTAAATTAGATCAATATTAGCAAGCTATTTTATATTATATAATTCGTTCATATAATATTATAATACAACCACGTGACTAATTATATAGGAATAATTAATTAAGATACTATTATATGATCAATACTTGAGACTATGTTTGACTACAATATCCATGTCACTCTCTGCATAAATTACTTAAATATTATTTTTAGAAAAATACATGTAATATTAATAAGCTAATTAATTATATTCTCAAAGTCCCTAAGTTGGACTAAACACCTTGGGTCTATTCTAGATTCGCCATTGTCAAGAATCTCTAATAATTTATGCTATTGGAGCATAATCATAACCTCCATCATCGTCATCTCCTTCCAAAGATGCTGCAGGAGCATAATCATAGTCTCTGTCATCGTCGTCTCCATTCAAGGATGTTGCAGGAGCATAATCATAATCTCCATCATCGTCATCTCCTTCTAAGTATGTTGCAGGAGCATAGTCATAATCACCTTCATCATCTCCATCTGAATATGACCTTCTGTTCTGAAACCCGATAATCTTAAAAATGCTAGACATTCTAATTAAATATAAGATATTGGATGTTGTATATATGATGTATTTGATATGGAAAATGAAGAATTAATGTTTTAATTTTGTGGTGTGAATAGGTGAGGTAACCATATGCTTATATAAAGAAAAGAGACTAGTGTGGACTCATTTTGACACATTAGAAAGTGTGTGTTACATGAGGAATGTGCACAACCATAAGTTGGCTCAATTTATGCTACTTTTGGAGTTGCCACATCCAAAATTCACTTTACATGTCAATTATTATTATATATACACACACAAATGTGCTTTAAAGATTATTCTTTATATTTCTTGGTTGTGGAGATGGAATATAAACAATCAAAATCCACTAAAAGTAGCATAAATTTTAAAAATAAATCAATCATAATCCTTGTTGCTATCTTTTCGATTTTATAAGGCAGTCTATTCGCCACAAAAAAATGTAGAATAAGAGAGGTTAAAGTCTTTTGAAATAGGTGCAACTTGCTATAAAAATTAAAAGTGTGCAAGCCACATGGAAGTTTGTAGTAATATCTATCTATGTGCATGGATGCTTAGTTGGCATGCCACCTGGACAGGGTTGAGCTAACCTTGTTCGAGCGATAGCTTTTTGTCGAAAAATTATGTTGTATAGATAGGTTAAGTATAATTGATTTTATACCTGACACTATTTCATCATACAAGGTGAATAGTTAGTGAAACTGTTGAGGGGGTGTAAAAGGGTTTTTTATTTCAACAGTTTTTTCTCTATTTTTTTGTGTGTTTACTAGTTTATATTTTGACACCATTTAATAAAAATCGTGATTCCGCGCTACTGAGGGGTTAGATTATAGAAAGAATATGTCCTTTGATGGAAAATGTAAAAATGTCGACACTAATTCGTTTATTGCATGAATAATGCTAAAGTAGGAGCCTAAAGTTTAGTGGCACTTGCCAATGC